GGGGCATGATCAGGGGACAGGTTTGGGAGGTTGCAATCGAAAAAAGCGGGATGCACAGACCACATGCACAGCTGGCCAGAAATTGTAGGGACCTTCGCGTCCGCCTCTGGGAAAGCCTCCAGCTGCTGAGCGAGGTCCTCCCGTGTTTGGGGTTGCGGTTCCGGGCTGGTTTAGCTGCTGGGAATATATGGGGTGCCCGGTGCTTGTAATTGTAGGTTCAAAACTTTGAGCCTCAAGGGTTCTACAGGAATTGCCGAAAGGACTCCACCTCTTCTGCTGGAGAGCTACAGTACTATGCAGGGCTCGCACATATAACTCAACTGGTCGCTGGTCAATTATTACTCCTTGTAGGGCTCATGTACAGTATATTCTTGTAAGATATAGAAAGCACTCCGGACCCCATCCCTAGTGAACTGAGTTTGCCCTTGTATTGGGAATGTAAAGCCACAGCAGCCACTGCGTGCTGGGAAGGTGTTAGTGGCGGGAAGAAATATTTTTCGTGTATGGAGGAGAAACCGCGGCTGTGGGGCCGTGGGACCACGGTACATTCAGGCTGGTGTCGAGAGACAAGAAAGGCAGCAGTAACGACAGCAACGAGCAACATGACACCGCTGGAAGCCCAATCTTCATTCTTGGTGATGTTAAATCCGTGTACCGCTGCATCTGTTGATTCACTCAGGACAAGACCCAAAGCAACAACTGCTTGTTGCCTAGTCCTCCTGGCACTTAAGCTCATCATCCTGCTAAGCACTGCCACAAAACCCTGCATCCAGTGGTAAGGGCCCTCTAGCATAGGCTCGGGGGTGGCTGCCGGACCAGGATGGCATGAGCTTCGGAGCGTGATGCAGACCCTGATTGATCAACCCCCGCCTTTCCTTAAGGGCCTTAACATGAGGACCCCCTTTAGAACCCTATAATTCTTGTAGCATGTTTGTTCATCAGGGCTCTACATCAGGGAGAGCCCGGCTCGCCCCCACTACCACTCGGATATGTCGGCGGCTCGATTAACGGTTCAGCTGGCTTAGTTGGTTGGTTGAGTTGTTGTGTATGAGGAATCTAAACGACAGCCGCCAGCCAGGAACATGAGCCCTTGGAAAAAAACATACAACATGTCCACGGACAAGACCTTCCAAACTCTGGGTTTAGGTGTTGCGCGCACTTCGCATGCATCGCAGGGTAAAGGCACCGCGTTTCGCACATAGACGGGCACACGTGTTGGTTTTTCACTGAGACCCGCACCATGCAGGCTAGTCCACAGACCACCTTGGCATGCTTCAGTGTCCGTGAGGGCTTTCTACTGGCTGACCTACTACATGTTGCTTGTTTCGACACATACCCTATCCAACAGTCCTCAGTCACACCAACCGTTTTTCTACTACTAAGCCCTCTCGGACGGTACAGCGAGGCAGGTGCACAAGCTACCACCTGTACGCGCTACGCCCGGCGCTCCAAAGCGCTCACAGCGACTAGGGCTTGAGACTGACAGGGGAGACGGTACGATGTGCGGGGCCTTTTGCTTGAAGACCCCAGCTGTGTTTTCTTTTGCGACAGGTCTACAGTCGAATGGTGGCGCAGCGAGCTCTCTGACATAACCTTCTCCGTTGACGCAACTTATCCACAGAACCTAAGCCGAAAAACAACCGGAAACAAATCCTTATAAACCCTAAACCCATCTAAAACCCCCTAGAACCCTGCATTGCAAGCTCACTCCTTAAGCGGAGCCTAAAGCGTGGAACTTCGGCGCTTAACTATTCTATCTAAGCGAGTAATAATTATAATCCATGAAGCTTGCCTTGGTTGGTGATAACCCCGCGGGCATATGTGGGCATAGGCTGCTGAAAGAAGCTCATACAGTAATGGCACCACAAGGGTGTTGAAGTTAGGGAATTGTAGTTAGGGGGTATGAACCTTTGGCAGAACCATGAAAACTCGCCGAATCGAAACAAGGCTGTCTGGGATCTCGGCGACTTCACTGGCAGCCTCCACCTACAGAATGTTTTCACTTCCACGATCATGGTCTGCACTGAAGCCTTAAGACGGAGTTCCCTGAACTGAGCCCTACCTAGAGGGTCCTACCCTACACTTATTTTAGGGCACCTGCTTTTCTGTAGACCGGATCGTAACAATAAAACTAGGTAACCCTAAAAAAAGGGGAGGGTATGACCCTCTACGTAGAGTCAATATGCAAGAAGCACTGAACTCCATCACATACAGTGAAGACACATCAGACTTTGGGTAATACTAGAAGTCATACTCACCAGCAGCGGCAAGGGCAAGAATGACAAAGAAGATCGCGGAAGCCCTCCAATACCAGGCCGCAACCGGCATTTATGAACCAAACCTTGCATCTCCAGAACCACTATTGCGACGAACAAAAAAAACTCCCACGCATTCGCTGTCATGCCTTCTGGGTCTTCCAGGTGAGTGCCGGGGTGATGTACGTTGGACTTTCCTGTTGGCACAACTCACTCTGGACTTTCTGTGATTCTAGTCAGCAGGACGGCAGCAAACAGTGGGCACTGGGCACTAAAACACAACATTTCATATGGCGTGCTGGGCTCTGGCATGGTTTTAGGGTTAAGGGCAGGGTCCATCATCGTGCGATCTAGGATCAGGTTTAGAAGGGGAGACTGGAAAGGGGCACTCTCTGGCGCGCAACAGAAATGCAGAATCTGGCCGGCTCGAAAACTCAAAGCCGACAACTGCGATCTTTTGCTCACCAATGCTGGTGCCGCTCCTGAACTTTGTCGAGCTGGAACTTCCCTCAGGCTACCAGTAGCTACCAGAAGGGAGGCGTCGGATGAACAAACGAAGCCACCAACCTTCACCCGTAACGGAACTAGTCAATGTTTGTAAGCAGCCTGGTTGCCATGGTGCTAGGGGTCCGGCTCAGACACTGCGAGAGCCTGATGGATGGCGCCGAAGTACAGACAGGGGTACTCGAAGTGCTACGTCACGATAGAATTTTGAGCATTCGATCAATACCTCGTGTTTTTTTTCCACGGCTTGTCGTTGACCTTGAAACCTTCCACATGACTTCATGGGGAGAACGGAGTAGAAAAGACAGGCTTTGCATTCGGATGCCCTGCTCAGACACTTGCCGAACCCTTGATTGGGGAGAGCTTCACTTTACAGGCTATAAGTTACACATACGTCTATGAGGCTCTCCGAAAGTCCGGCTTGTTGCGCTGCCTTCCAGAACTTGTTCCGGTACCGGGATAGCCCTGAAGCCAAGAAAACATAACATCTCCCCGGCAAGGCACTTACACCAGCACAAGCTTGGCATCCGCCATGCCATACTCCGCCTGCCACCGAGCATGTTTAGGATGCAAGGCCGACGAGCCCATAGTAGAGGTTTAATCTGGTTCAAAGTTGAAGTTGACAGAGCTACGTCCTTTGCACTTGGGGCTAGTCCAGTAGACCTTCCGAGGTGTACCCTCAACTCTGAGCTTGGGTAGTTCTTTAAATTAGGGCCCTTCTTAGGTCACCAAAACAGTACGGCACCCTTATAAAAAGGACTCTAAAAAGGACCCTACTTTAGAGAACTACCCGCTTGAAGGTTGCTGGCAAAGCAAGCCTGGAGGTTGTAATCATTACAATTAATTACTGCTGTTTTCATCGTTGGATTCCTTGCCAAACGACGTCAACGACGCATGTCTATGGTGAGCGCTACCATGGCTTTTGCTGCTCGAGGTGTTTCTTCACGTCTGACGGCTTCGGCATTCAGGTTGACACGCACTGCGTGCACTGCGCCTCTTTCTTGGGACTTCTTTCGAAGATGACCTACTTCATGGTCCGATAACGTATGCGCATTCAGAGATTACGACTCATGAGAACGAGGGCTGCCACCGACAAAAGCCCGTGCTCACCTTTGAGCAAGTAAGGTGGGTCACGGTTGTCGCTGCGTCGTCAAGATCGTATCACTTTGAGCGTCGAATATTTCACAAGACCTTCGGAGTTGAGATGATGAATGCTCCTGCACCCCTAAGCCTTACACAAGCCCTCCTCCCTCATAATATAGGAGCCTGAGTAATTACCAGTACTATTTTGGGGGGCTCCTTATTATATAACTATATAGTATAACAAACCCAAAACCCTTACATGCAAAAGGGGTGGAAACAGCAAGGGTGCTTCTCAAACAGGGGGCCTTGTGCTGCTCAAACAGCTGCTCCAAGGCTTCGCAATACTGGCGGTGGAAGTTGTCGATCTGCCTGAAAGTTACGGGAAAGTTATAGACTATAGGATTGGTTTTATTTTTTTATGTGTGTTTTTGTTTTTATGTGCTGAGGGTTGTTTGGGGTTTTTTTCCCTCCCACTTAGCAAGGACGAGCCCGCATTGCAGGGCAAGTTAGCAGTGGGGTTTCGGGTTTAGGGTTTTAGGGGCTTCGGCTTCAAGGGTTTCGGGTCTTTCGATGTCGACTCGCGCACTCGCGAGACCAGGCACGGCCTTTCGATTTTTTTGACACCCACATTCACTGGCGTAGGTCTAGGGTTGCAGGCTGCGTCCACAAAAACAGCCTGAAAGGTTTAGGTTAAACAAAAGTTCAAAGTTCAGCATGGTTTAGGGCTCGTGGTTTAGGGTTTTCGGCGAATTTTCGGTAGTTCTAGCAAGGATCTACATCGAATGCAAACTTCGCAACAGCTTGGCGCCGTCGTGATATGTCAAGGGCCCGCCGAAACTCCTCTCCACACTTGCGCATAGGCAGTGCATACCGCACATGCCCCGTTGTGTTGTCTGAGTGATCTGTGCTCCGACATGCACACCGAAATCCCAAACATACTCCCCAGGAAATCTCCTGCCATAGCACTACATTTCCGCTTTCTGAAGCCTTATGCCAGTCCTTATTCCTCTACTTGGCCTTCAGGGTGTAGCAACCATGGCCACTTCAAAACCCTGAAGCCCCAAGACACGGTTTCAGTGACCCCCTAAAACTAGAGTGGCCAAACAACTTGACCCAGGAAACAACAAACCGCAAATCCCAAACTCGAAGCCCAGCAGCTCATCCGGGGGATCGGGCCATGTCCCTGGGGGCCACAGCGGTGCACCAACAAGTGTCGTGACCTGGTGACGTCGACACAGCGCCAGGCTTCAGGACTTCGCATGGGCTTAGGGCTTAGGGGGGTTAGGGTGTGCGTGTGTGCGTGGTGTGTTTTGTGATGAGGGCATGTTCTCATTATTGGATATTGAGACCTATTCTCTGCCTCTATTTCTCCCTCTCTCTCTCTGTATATATATATATTTGGTATCTTTCGAGAAATACATAACTAAATAACTAAATAAATAAATAAATATATATATATGTATGTATATACACATAGATATTCAATGTTAATATTAATATTGTGCCACGCCCTTAGACTTCTTCAAGCCTATGGGGTGTTCGGCTGCGCGATTCCGACATGCCGAACTACGTCTGCGTGGCTCCAGCTGTGGATCGGTGGGATCTGCAAAAAGCCAATGATACTAAAGGGTGATGACGGGTAATGGTTGACATAACTGCACCCTGGTCTTCAAGGCCGCCAAAAGCCTCCAACCCTAAACAATGCGAGTCTGCTCCTATGCTACCGCTACGGACGGCCACAGCAACCGTAGCAGGCCAAGTCACAAGAGTATTCACTGGGTGCTTAGACATGCGCATGTAGGACTTTGCTAGACCGTCCTTTCACCACCAGTCTCTGACAAATAATACCATACTAAGCTGCGAAGACACCCCACCATTTCCGCATCTACCACTCGACAACATGCAATTGAAGTGAAAAACATGTGAGTCTACGGGGACTTCCCAAACTTCCCCATAAAGGCCACTGCTCGCACTGCATCACAACCGAGCCACCAAAACTAAGCTGAACAGTTCTCACGCACTCATCACTGTCTCATATCTGAGAATACGGCACATGTTTAATTTCCGCTTAGAAGCAGCTTGCGGCTACTGCTCAGTGCCTTAAACTCCAAGAGCACCCCCTTTGATACGCCCTTAGATCAGAAGCTTTGTGTTGCAGCTTGCGGCTACTCCTCACTAGAACTCCAACAGTCCCACCCCTTTGATATTCCTTGGGATCGATCTACGTCTGCCCTAGGCTTCCAGCGACCTTATTATTGGGTCCTTAAGGGGTCTAGGGCCAGTCTAGCGCCTGTTTAACCCTGCTGCCCGAGCGGCGGGGCGCCGCCGAGGGACGAGAGGAAGCCAGCTCAGGCCGCAGAAAACCGGCAGAGCAAAACCCAGGCCTGGGATTTGGCGCTGCAGGAAAAATTCGGACCATTTCGTTTAGAGATTTTTTCTTAGGGTTTAGGGATTCACTTTTAATACAACTGCTAGCCCTACTTTGAACCAGCTCCCTGGACTGGCTTTCGGAGCTCAGGCTTTGGTCCTTGGTCACTGCATCACCAAAGATGCCCTTGCGGTACTGCTATGCTGCTATGCTGAAGAGGTGGACTCTACTGGTTTATGCCCTGCACCCTACACCAGTGGCCTTCTCGCTGGTACTGACAAGCTCTGTTCCCTTCGTCTGAGCCGTTGCCCTGCCAAACATGATAGAGCTAACAGAGTCAAACACATGTTGAAATATGCATGCATACATGGCATACATGTGAGCAGAATACGGAGAGATGGCGGCAGAGACAGAGAGAGAGAGTAAGAGAGACAGATTGAAAACAACAGGCGTGTGAGACAGAGAGTTTACATCTGCGAGCGTTCGTCATTCGTTTCGAACCTAGCCAGCTTACTGCCTGGCGTCTCATGTGTAGGCATAGACATATGCAAGCGTGCATGTGTATATATAATATATTAATATATACACACGCATGCACTCCTAGGTGTAAACATGTAATCGCGTGTGAGCTTGTGTATAAATACATACATACATACATACATACATACATACATACATATGCACATGTACACAGAGGACAAGCTGGTCTTCATGCGTATGTTAGAATGCACACAGCCCTTCTGCCCCGCTCGCCGTCTCTCTCTGTCTCTCTCTCTCTCTCTCTCTCTCTCGGTCTCCCTCCTTCTGTTTCCATCAGAGCCCCTTTGCAGATTTCGAAACCAAATAGACCCAAGACCCTCAAGCCCAACCCACAGCCTGCACCTCAAAACTCTGCGAAAGCTATAAGCTGTAGCCAAAAAGGCGGTTCTGAAGCTGCTCCTGCAGCTTCCGACGGAAGCTGCCCTTCTCGAACTGTACGGTGGAGTAGACGTCATTCCTCAGCGACAGGTGCTTGAAGGGTTCGAAAATGTTCGATTCTAAGCCCATCCCAAAGCGTAGACTCAGTGGAAGCCTCGATTCAATTCTAAATTATGGGCGGTATTCGCAGGTTCCGCATAAGACGGGGCTTGCCTGAAGCCGACGCGCCAACTGGCATAACATGATGTAGTACAGAAGGCATGTCTCCGTCTTGAGTGTGTCAGCTCATAACTTTGGCGATGCTTCCTCGACACACCTTCCAACTCCGTTCGCGAGTGCAGATGCAGAGGCTTTCGGTCCATGCTTGTAGGGTCTCGAGGCAGATGGAGGAACTCAACCATCCTAGCGGCCAAGTTCAAAACACTGAGAGGGAAGTAGACGAAACAATCGGAGTGTGACTATGCCAGCGGCATGGATCCCAAGCAGTGACAGCACCACGACGAACAGCAGCCACCACGACCGGCTGGACCGCAACGTTGACCAGGAAGACCAAGGACGACCGCGATCGCAACGACACCAGGGACCACGACGAGACCAGCAGGAGACTACAAGCCAACAGAAAAACCACCAGGACACAACGGCCAAACTGCTTCTTATCCATTTGACACTCACAATGAATGAATCTGCCTTAGGTTGCTGGATCGACATCTCAGAAGCCATGTCATTTCTCTTACATAGACCAGGACCAGTGGCTCTCCAAAACCGAGGACGGGAACCAAAGCGGCGCCTGTACCTGGGAGTCTCAACATGCGAGCCTTAATGACTAGAATAAGTCCTGGGGATATGTTAAGCTGTGATTGTAGGAACTGTACAAGGGCACTTTTCGTGAATCAGCAAGTAATGAACTCCGACCAAAAAAACGGCCCTTCCGACTCAGGGCTCAGGGCTGGGATTCAGTTCAAGCTGCTTCATGCTCTCGCTCTGCACACTGCGACACCCTGAACCCGATACGCCGTGAGCCCGCATCTTCCAAAGCCCCAAGCCTACGAAAACACAGCCCCAAACTGAATAAAGTTTTAAGCCCAGAAAGGGTCAATATCTTCCACGCTCAGATGAGTTTATTGCATCATGGCCGCTGAGCGCCAACTTGGCAAAGCCTCCGACAAGGTCACGGGGGCGATTGCACATTGTGAACACAGCACCACCAAAACGACACTTACCTGTCCATAAAACCGAAACCCGATTCAGGGAGATTCTCGGCTGTGTCAGTCTTCTAGAGTCCTCTAGAGATCTTGTAATGTTGTTTAGTGCTCTGTCTCAGGGATATATCCTTCTCGAAGACCCGTGTCTACGCCCAATCTCCTAGGTCCCAGGCCTAGATAATTACACTTATAGATTGGAACTCCGGCTTATGCCATGTATATGTGATCAACTAGTATAAGATATAACATAACATAAAAGAACAGAGCAGAATATGACACAACCAATTCAATTTAAGACGGTATGATATGGTAAGACCTAGTAGACTATGATAACATTCGATACTATATACAAGAGTATAGTATGATACAACATGATACAATATGATATGCTATGATACAATGCCATATAAACCATTAAAGTTTAGGGTAACGTAATTCAATACAGCATACCGTAACATGACATAAAACATCATAACATAATATACAACATAAACCATAATGTGGTTTACCTTGATAATACAGCACATAATTGTACAGTACATCATATGATACTACAATGCAAGTCAATCTCATGTGACATGAAGCAGCACCACATAGCATAATACTAGCAAATCACTTTGATGTGATAAACTGTAATATGATATAACAAAATGAGATGTAATGTAGTGCTGTGCAGTGAAGTACATGCATACATATATATATATACACACACATGCATACGGGTAGTAACCGTTAAACTAGCCTTCAGACCCCTTTTAAGAGGAAGCCTCTTCTAACCATAAAGGCCCACCGAGACCCTACACTCAACCCAATCCCTGGCCTTTGCGGCTGCGAAGGACCAGGCGCATGGTCCCAGGCACAGATTCCAGACTCTCCTTCGCTCCTGAGCGGCTGTTGGCGCATGTAGGATAGGCTTTTTTCCCTCTCGCATGGCTAAGGATAGGTTTAGGGTTTGGGGTTTACGGTTTGATATTCAGGGGAAGAGGGGTCGATGAAATGGTTTTTGGAGGCCCGGCGACATGCTTGTAGAAGATGCTGCGAGAGCTCCGCTGGAGTTCAACCGGGACTTTGAAATGTTTCTGGTATACAAGGTCTTGTCTAAATGCCCTACTCTTTGGCACACAGGTGCTTAGAGCCTGCAGGGTCTGCGACCTCAGGGCTTCAGAAAATTCCCGAACTTCAAGCTCGCACCGAAGTCTTGAAGCGATACTCCGCAGGTTCGACCTTCCCAAACCTGAAGCCTTACCCTGAACATCTTCAACGCTAAGCTCCAAAAACCAGAGATCATAGAACGAAGTCCAGTAAAGACTTTACTTATACATATGCGAAAGCTTGCCGTCTCCTCCTGGTGCCAAGCCAATGCAACGGCCGTGGCGGAGGAGATGCCTGGACTTGCTTGAAGGCCCATGGGAGCTATACGCAAAAGGCTTTTACAGCAAACGGGCGCAGCTGTCGGCTCGCCGGGCGCTTCTTATTGCAGAGTGACCGGAAGCGCCCAAAGGACGCGGCGTGGCCAGTGGATGGCTCTCTACTTGAATGTATGTATACTGAGACACTGCCTTACAAGAACTGAAAAGGATTCCCAGGAACGTGCTGCTTGCAGGAAGTTCGGCGGGGAAAGTGGACGCAAGTGGGTCAAATGTGGTCAAATCAATGAAACGTTCAAAACCCTCGTAAACCCCAAGCCCCAAGGCCCTGCTATCCGATAGCCTCGAGCTCTCAACTCGTAGTAATTAACCCTTCGTCTTCCGGCACACCATTCCCCTAAACACCCTTAAGCTCAGCGGCAGACAGGTCTTCTTGCTAACGGTCCCATGGCCGTGCATCAAACACCATTCCTCGGAGCGGGGCTCAGGCTGTAGGGCTTTCGGCTCTCACATTTGGGGGCTACCAGTTCAGGTTTAGCGCTCTTTTGGGGGTTGCGGTGGCTTAAATCAGAGCCGCGTGGCTTTTTATTTTTGGTGCAAGGTTATAACCTTTGCGCGAACATAAGTCGAATCTTCATTGACATCTGTGACAGATGTGTCGCATGCCTGAGTGCGCCAATCTGTCTCACATCAAAGACATGACGCAAGCATCGTTCCCATTATTCGTTCTCTGTGCCTGGTCACCCTGGTCCTTAAAACACTAGCCCAGTAATTATTTGCAGCAAGCCTGCTCGCCTGTCGATGCTCAACAGTGTGATGCAACCACCTCACGACCTGCAGTTCCAACCTGCGCTCCGCAAAATTCACTGACGTTTACGAGTTCCAACTTTAATGTGTGCGCCTGAGGCCAAGAAAGCTGTCCGAATATGACAGGTTGAGCTCCTGCCTTCATTCCTGGACAGTCGGGATTCCTAGACCTGAACACTAGAGTCACTACATGTAGGAACACTGAAAGATGCCTCGACGCAGGCCTAAACATGGATTGAAACAGAATCTGGAATCGAGACGAAAATGAGGGTCCGGAGTTCGGCAACTCAACAACCCGACAGTACTTGAACCAAGCGATGTGGAGTCTAGAGTTCACGGTTGGGAAGACATGTTGGAACACCAAACACCCATAATCCCAAACTGCAAACCCACTAATTTGAGAACCTGATCTTTCTTCTCTTGGCGGTTTTATTCGGAACAGAAACTCGGAAACTCACATTACAGTCAGGAACCTTCAGGAATCGTGTCGCTAATTTTTCAGGCCCCTACATGAATTGTACCGTGCTCGGTGCTTGGTGCGGACCTGAACTTGCACTGCCATGCCCTACGATAGGCCATGCAAACCACGCACCCTGCGAACCCAACCGCCCTCTAAACTCAGAAAAAATCGACTTCATACACCCTGCCACCGGGAAACCTACAGCATCCAACAACAAAATGGAAATGCGGACGGCGTGACACCAAAAACAGCCCTACACCCCCTTCGAGACCAAGAGTCCCGGAAGAACGGAATCCGGAAAATGGCGTTGTGGCCCAGGAGGTGAACGCTCAGGCCGGGGAAGGCTGTCGAGAAGCCTCAACTTCTCTAAGCAGTTGGGTTTCAGGGGTTCGGGATCAGAGGTTGGGGGGTTTAGGGTTTGCCCAAACCCTCCAGGTGCCTACTATATAGGGCTCTAGTAGCCTTTGTGGTAGGCACCTGAAAGGTTTTTTTGCCTCCCACCTTGCTAGGACGAGCCCGCATTGCAGGGTACAATCCGAATATGTCGAGCTATGCATTACAGGTCACCCGAGACCCTTATTAGCCTCTTGGACGCCACTCGGTGTCATTCCCGCGAGTAGTCTTATCCAGACCCAATTCGAAAGAAAGTTCAGGACTGAAAACTCACCAAGCGAGTCTCAGAAAGTCACGAGGCCCTCACTCAAGCTCTGCCTGCAACATGCATGTCGTAACGAGACGCATGTCTGCAAGCAAGGCGTCACCAAAACAGCAACTGGTTCGACCGCAGTCCGTCGAGTATTCAAAATTAGTGCCCATCCACTGCGCCACTCCCGTCCCTCAGAACAAGACTTGCGCTGCAGCAGCATGGAGTCACGTTGGCACATGCAGAATCCACATTGGCACAGTTAGGGTTTAGGGTTTATGGGAGTTTAAGAGACCTTTGGGGCTGTTAAGTGTCAAGGGATGTATATGGATTTGATTAGATGTTCAGGGTTCGCAGTGTAGGGATGACTGATTAGAGGTTCAGGGATTGGGAGTTTGGCGTCTGGGGAGCATAGGGCTGTGAATAGGGCCTAGGGTGCTTACGAAGGAAGGGGCATGCGACTACTTTGAGGTGTGGCTGTACCACCGATGTGTATCTACTTTTATGAACAGCATAGACATTTTGTTCCGGGGTGTGGTCAAGCGGTACATGTACATATAGCCCAATATTTGCTTAAACTGTCGGTGTGCTTCTCCGTCCGTCTATAAATATGCATGCATTGTTGCATCACGGTGTTTGTATACGCACACCATGTGCGAACTCAGAGAATGAATACACTTGTGCATTGACCCGTCACACATGTAACTAAAGGCACACACGGTAACTTTCGATATCAGATGTGAGTTCAAAAACTGTAAAGCTTCAGAGGGTCTAGATTCTAGATCTCTGTTATTCTCACTTCGTAAGGACGAGCCCGAACTGCTCTCTTGAGAGATTACGATTCACGTGGCGACTTTGGGATACTTGGGGGCGAAGCTCAGGGGAAAGACTGCAGAATGTAGGGTCGGCCGTTGAGGTAAATCGATCTCGGTGACTCGTGGGCAGGCTTACATGCCGTTGTGCTTAGTTGCTTCGGGTTCCAGGACATCCGAACACCATCAACCCTCAAAGTGCTGTGCGCCACTGCTTAATTACAACATCTTCAGGATGATCAGTATGCGAGTTTCACACAAGCAAGTCTGGTACCTATGCCATACACGAAACGGACCAGCAGAAAATACACTGCGATGGAGCGTCCGCAGGCATCCGTCCCAAAGGCCGTCATCGGAGATACTCCGATGATGCCTTGATTCTTTCGGAAGGCACTTATAAGACCGACCCACATGTGAGGATTCGGCGAATACGAGACCTGGTGATCAGTTTCGGTCCAGGCAGCAGGGCTAAGTAACCTACAACGTTTGCTGAAATCTCTGGCGACTCCTCGTGTATGGGATCCCGCGCTGGATGAGGGTTGAGACAAGCTTGAGCATCCCGTTTTATCATCCCACATTCCCTTTAACGCCCTGACAAGTTCGACCCAATTCAGTTCGGGCCTGAGCTGAGTGATACGACCGCCGACGGCCAAAGCAACAAAAAGCCGTGAATATGTTGGCACAGGACTGCTATGTCCAGAGGGTCAGTCCCACACATAGCTTCACTTCTCTGTGAACTTCGTTGTTGAATACACCGTGTAAACCGGAAAAGGGGCTTGGGCTTCAGATCCGGATTCGTTTCGATGCCTGGGGAGCCGAGATACCGTGCGGATGGCACACGAAGATGTAAGGTCCCTTTTCGGCAGGGAGAGGTGCGGTCACTCGCATGGTGACCTGAGAACTCGTTGAAACAGCGCCCTGAATCCCAGTACTGATGTCCTGCGTAACTGCATACACTCAACAGGGCGAAGCTTTGAGCTCCTTACTTCAGACATGAATCACACTCCGGTCCTCTCTCGCATGGGGACCTAAAGGAACTCGTCCTAGCTAGCCTCTCGAGATGCCTGCAGCTTTGGATCGCAGGGCCAACGAATCTGAAACCCACGCTGGCATAGATGTGGTACATGTTTTTGAGGTGGAATGCACACAGTGCTATCTATTCTAGCGAGCTTGCAGGCAAGGATGTCCACATGGGGATGGGGCGGAGAGCAAAGCATTAGACATGCTCTGGATGGCTATTGTGCAAAAATCCCGAGCATCCTGCATACGTGGCAGTACTTCGTGCTGTCGGGCGGCAGGAAAATATCGCGAAGCCCACTGCCAAAAGAAGCCCCTGCGTAGGCAATCCTGAGCAAACAGTGAAGCAAGGAACTAGCTGAGGTTCTGCAGAGCTCGGAGCCACCCTAAACCCCGAACCTCAAAATCCACAGTCGTTCTGAGGCAGCTGCAGGCCATACTAAAATATGCAACCAGGTTTTCATCTTGCATGCGCTATAGCATTCAACCGCCCCTACACTCCCAAGGTCTTAAGCAGTGTTTCTGGGCTGAGCTCAGGCCGGCGAGCGCAGTCTATGCCCGAGGCATGTGGGGGCTTTTGTTCGGGCCTTCGCCGTGACTTAAGGTCTAGACTTATTATAGGCTTTACCTTATAACCCCAAGGAACCTGGTCTTGTAAGGACTTACAATAAGGAGCCCTAAAACAAGCTGGTTATTTGGGGTCCAGGTAGGTCTAGGATTTTTTGCTGTCTCGCTGGCACAATGAAGCGCTCACTCTAACGCCTGAGCCCACCCTGAACTCCTAACAGCAGCATGGCTCTTGCCGTCGGGTGGCAGTGATTCCGAGCTTCCACAGAAGCCTCCGACGGCGGACAGGTCAAAAAAGCCAGAAAGCATATGTAGCAACAAGAGCAGCAAGTGCAACATGACGTGACAATAACACTAAGCACATGTCTCACAGTGGATCGTTGCTTCAGCAGGCAATGAAATTCAAAGCCAGCGTAATTCGAACAGGACTTAGGGCACAAATGTGCTACAGCTCGGTATAGCTGCAGAGGGTATACAGGCATATGATGTTGCTCATCGTCATCTACGTTCCAGCATTTGTATTGAGGTGCACCTGCATCTTACAGTTTCTTCAAAACGGTGGAGCTAACGGGGTCTCAGGGTTCAACCGACCATATGGACTACCTACATGGCTCACACACATGGTTGCAAGCGGCGCATCAGTCTTGTTGCTTGCAAGCTGCGAATATCCGCCTTTCTCAGGGCAGGGGTCCTGCGGTTGGTGGAAGCTGAAGTTTCGCGTGACCAACGCCGATTAGTGGTGGGGTAGAAAGAAGAATGAGCAGCATTCGATTGAATCAGACATCTCTCCGCAAGGCCTGGTTTTAACCCGCAAGCCCTATTCAGTCCACTAGCATCCAGCAGAAGTAGGCCAGCAGAACAGATCGGAGGGTGCTGCCGCCATATGCAAAGAGAGCTACCTCGGAGATGCGCTGCTTCAGCTTCTTTAGCCTAGTGGGGGAATACAAACAAGGAGATCATAGACCGTTCCCTGCGAAGCTCTACAAGTAAGTCGTCAGGAATCTAAAGCCTAAAGTCGCTGCGAGGCACTGTGGCACTGAGACATGCCGCGATCGAGTTCAAAGGAAACGTGCAGAGGAACGTTGCGCAAACGACCGTATCCATCGCATCAGCGGGCGGGTATACCACGCGACCCTGCCCAAAGGGACCTAGAGGTGGAAAATTGCAGGTTTGAGTGTGGCGCAGCAAGCAGGAAGTGCTGAAGGCTATATCGCTCCTTGTGTGAAGCCTCCTATCGGTTCCAGTTGCTGGCTTACGGAAGCTGGCAAGACCAATCGCTATCGCCTGGGCCTTCACATTGCAATATGTCGGAGCCCATCCGTGTGGGTTTGCTGGAACACTGGTCATAAGCTTCATCGTGACATCACAACATCAACTCTGTACGGCTCCATTCCGTGATTCAGCATTTCGGGTTGGGGTCTCTCTATTTTGGGTCTGGGTGGGTACCCTACTCCTGCTACACTTCCCTGTGCAGCCTCTGTGTTACAGTCATCGTTTTCATGCAGGAGGCTGCCTAAGCCAAACAGCTACAACGAACATCGGACACCCATGCCGGGCGAGAATGGGCGAGCACCACGCGAAACCTTAAGTCGTGGAAGATGACGAACTCTACTTCTGTTTCGAGCTCTTCGTGATGCTGCTTGTGATCGTTGCTGCTGCAATTGTTCGTCGGTCATGCTACTCAATGGACAGATTGCTGCGCTGTGCCAGTTTAGTTTGCTACGTCGCCGGGGCAACCGGCTGAAAACTTCAAATCTCACCACGATGCACAAGGCAACCTCAAAGCACAAGCTGCCCGGAAGCGGACATCGGGATGTGACGGACCAGAACACAACAAATCGCCGCATGACAGCAACAATTACCTGCATGATCTTGGGCAAGACAGTTGTCATGCACAGGATGGCGATGATGATGATGATGGTGATGATGGTGATGGTGATGATGATGATGAGGGTGATGAGGGTGATGCTGCTGATATCAAGGTGTTGCTGTTGATGATGGGAAGGAGAAGGGTGGTGATGATGCTGGCCCAGGAGCTTGCGAAGGTGCTGCTCTCGCTCGTGGCGCTGGTCACGACCACCACACAGCTAAGAACAAGCTGTTCGGGGGAATGATCAAGCCGGGCACTTTCCCTAAGACTCCAAGTATACAAATAGTACCTACTTTGGGGTCTAAAGTCTATAAATGGTACCTACTTTGGGCCATTTGGAGTCTTAGGGTTTCGACCTCAACCCACTAACCGAAGAGAGCTGAACCAAGCGATGATGCCAGAAAGGGCCTCGGCTGTCAGCGCACCCAGAAAGCCCTGCAAGCCTCGGGGAGGCTCAGGCCGAGGCCCCGATCCAAAATGCATGCAACAGTTGAATCCAATCACCACAGCTGCAAATCCTAGAAGGTGGCTATAATCAAGGCCAGTAAACGACGGCAAGAATCCAAAACCTTCAAATCTGAAGAAGATCAAGCTGCGCGGTAGCAGCTGCTTTCGGACTATAAAGCTCCGTCCTGAACGTATTTTGCGATATGAACCGGAATCATCATAAAACCGCTTCAAGATCCAGGACGTACCAACATCCATCTCCGATGCCAATCGCTGAACTTGCACCGAGGCTAAGGTCTTGGAGTTTCTTGCTGTTTCTTCGCAGTCCGGAAGTTGTCGCATCGTAGTTTTGCGATTTGTCAGAAGGCGCTTCAGCGGAGCCCCCACTTTGAGCCTGTACCCGGAAGCCTTTTTCCCTTATGCATCCACCTTTGGAAGCCAACACAGGGCCATGAACACATATATCATCATATATCCATTAGCTAGAAAATCCGCCTATCCTAAACCGTAGCCGTAGCCCTATACATCCTTACCCTGGAACCTGTCTACCGAAGTGTACTTGTTGCTTCGCCCAGGAGCGCTCCGAAGAGGGACGTCCTCGAAATGGCGTGGGGGGAAGCTCTATCAGGCGTCAGGGCGCGTACGATTCAGAAACTTGTTCCGCTTGGCAACAAAAAAGGACAGTTTGGGTTTGGCACTACGTTACTACTTACTTGTGATAGACAACAAAAAAGTTCTGGTGCTATTTTTGCTGTTTTGTTCGTGCGGTGGCTAAGGTTCAGGATCTCTCTTTGGTTCACACAAGGCCGCAACCAAATCTTCCTTACCAGCTCAAAAGCGCTTGAACCCTGCCGTCAAGACCGTAACCTCACGACCTGAGGCTGAAGCCCCAACCGGAACCTAAACTCGAAGCCTTCAACTGATTCGGATTTCGTTGAACTAGGGAGTTTAGGTGTACTGAGCCATTGCAGACATGGGGAGCAGAATATGGTTTGTGATGGAACTGTTTTTGCTTCGATCCCATCGCCCGTCGATATGTAAGAGTTTCGGGTTCGGGTTATGGGCTTTAGGTTGAGACGATTGGGGTTCAGGCTTTATCAGGATTTGTCAGGGTTAAGGCTCTATGGCAGCTCAGGCAGCGTCTGTAGAATGCAAGCTTCATGTCATGTTTGAAGCCAGTAGTCTGAATTCAAAATCCCACGAGGTAAGAAAGCCAAAGCTACAACGCTACCGCTACCGCTGCAAAATGCACATGTAACATGTGGAAAAATGGAAGATACGCCAGCAGCACAGCTTCAGAGCCCTGCATGGCAGCCTAGCAAAGCCCGGATCTTGGGCCTCAACCCCAAACCCCGAGAGCCATAGACCACTTAGGGCCTTCGAGGTTGGGGCAGCACCTGTATCTACATGTATGTATACCGTAGTTTATATCCTATTGAGAATCGCCTGGTTCCAACCCTGCCAACGCCCTCTGTGAAAACGCAAATCCCAGACAAACCCCCGACAGGCCCTGTGAACAGCTCTTCACAAGTCCTTTGATGCCGAATTGCCTTGCAGAATCCTTGAGAAACCCAAATGCACAAGCAAGCCATGCAAAAGCGGGTTTTAGGGTTGAGGGGTTTAGTGTGTAAGGTGTGCTCAAGCATCTCTAACCCGAAACCCCGACTAAAGATATCAGAGCTCTAGTCTCCAGTCTATAGACAGCTTTGGCATCGCCGAGGACCCTGCTGGGCTCGGCAGGAGCTTGATCGATTCCCAAGGCCTCACCCAGTCAGCCGCGACTGGAACGCAGGTTCCTTCTCCCTTTCAGGATGGTCTTCTCAAAGTTCAAGAGTTCAGGGCTATTGAACCCTAAGTGGATGGCTTAAGCGTGCATAGAGTCAAAAATAGTCAAACCATAAGCACTCGTTCAGCCTCTTGCACGCAGTTGAGGGCGCAACGGCTGTAACTGCAGCCACTGCCCAGCTGCAGATACAAACTCTATTGA